CTGTTGTTGTTGGTGGCAAGATTCCCACTTGTCGTATGACCATTATGTTGTCTCTTGTCCTTTCTCAATGCAGCTGGCTTCAGATGAGGATACAGGACCCAACATTTTTCTTTTGTATGTTTCTCGCCACCGCAGTGGATGCACTTGAGGGACTTCTTATCTGGATATCTATTTCCCTTAGTGGAGACTAGGGTTGAATGTTCTCCAGATAGTTCAGTTGACTGTGTTTGAGAATCAACTTGCATCTCCTTTCTCCTAACTTCTTCATTTCTCACCARGTAATAGACATGGTGTAGCTCCGGTAATTCATCTCTCCCTAGAATTTGTGACCTTATACCCTCATACACTGGGTCTAGGCCAACCAAAAACTTGAAGGCTCTGCTCTCTTCAATTTGCTTATCATGTCTCTCCTTGTCCCTGCCATTTTTCCAATCCAATATCAAATGATGATCAAGCTCTTCCCAAAGGCCTTCCAGAGTTGCAAAGTATGTTGCAACCGTCATATCTCCTTGCCTTAGAGCTGCAATGTCTTGGTTCAATCTGTAGATTCTAGCATTGTTCTTCTGCCCGTAGGTCTTAGATACCTTTTCCCAAATCTTAGCAACCGTAGGGAAATGATGAACAGTTCTGCCAACCCGAGGAGTCATGGAGGCCAGCAACCAAGAAATGACTGTGGAATTTTCCTTGCGCCACACGGCATGCTCAGGACTGCCGACTTCAGGTTCCTTCTTGTCCCCATCTAAATAGCCTGTGAGATCACGGGAAGTAATGAAAAGTCTTGTTGAAACGGACCACTCTCTGAAGTTATACTCATCCAGCAGCACACTTGTAATCTGCAAGCTGTGCAGATTAGGGTTTTCCAGGTTTGAGAACCTTGCAGCAGGTCTGTAATCTCTAGAGGAAACTTCTCCGGATAGTGAGGACATCTTGACTTCAGTCTTAGAGTAGATGGCTCTGTTTAGAGCTGGCCGAAGTGTTCATAGTGCTGGACAATCAGGTGCTGGTAGCTCGCTAGGTAGACTTCACTTGAGCTTAAGCAGTTCGGGTACAATAGCAAGTGAGAGGTTCTGGGCTGATAACCGACCTGAAATTAGGGTTCTTTACCACTATGCTGTGCAAGTCTTGTTGGAGCTTCAAAGCTGCAACTATACAAGAAGCTCTCCCCCTTTCAGCTAGTGCTAGGACTGCTGAAATCAGTCCTTAACTAGGTTTGTCCTATACAGACCTCTCTTAGTAGCCAAATAGCTACTATTTGCTGGAAATAACCTAGTAGGACATCTACTTCTGGGTCTTACTTCCCTTGAGCCCTACAACCAAGGGAAACCCTAGGTTCGGACTTGCTTTGTTCTCTTACAACCCTAAGTTTTCATTGCAGCAACCCAGAAAAGAAGAAAGAAGATGAAAAGACAGCAAGAGAAGAGAGAGTGCGTCGGCTGAAACCAGGGAGAAGYTAATGCTCTGATACCATGTGAGCTTAGGAGCTGTATTCGAAGTAGTAGAGAAGAGAAGAAGACCTCTGAAATACTGTGAATGTCGAACTGAATAGCTCAGTCGACAATACTGTTATTTATATTAGAATGTAGTACAATGATACAAGGAATTACTGGAATACCCCTGATTAGTGATGGGACACCCAGACAACTTAAAACATTAAAYAGGCTTAGGCCCATTAACACAGGCCCAGTACAGGATAACTTAAACTTAAGTATAGGCTAATAAGAACTCTTATCAGCCGAACACTCATACATAAAGAGACTTCAATCCAACACATATAATTATCTTGGTATTGAAATATTGTCAAATGTTAATCCTTTGTAAGACTTCTAATAACATTTCTTAATGGTTCGAATAGAAACTTTCTCATCCATGTGGTCTATTCTCTGGATGAAGGGCTTGAATCTGCTTTCTTCTATGATTCTATATACCTTTCTTTTTCATTTCATGACTACATTACTTACACTTGGATCAGAGTTGGATAATTTATGATAAAAGAACCATAATTGAAGGGTCTAAAGTATGATCAGATAAAGGTAATCTAGAAAATATAGGCAATTTCACTGCTTGGAGATTGAAATGTACCATCTCCGTTTCATAAACTAGTTCTTCACAAATGATGATTGATTCGGGTATTTCCAAAGCAGTGTCTCCAATATTCAGATCTTCCATTGCCACAGCTCCTCTTCCAGCTCCTTCAATATCTATATATCAATAGAGCATGGAAATAAATAAAATAAATAAATACATACATACAACTAAGACTTCTTTGTTCTTTTGTTTTACTGGATACTGTGCCTATTCTTAACTGAAAATCCAATTTAAACTGTGATTCTTAAATTCAGTCACAAGAAAAAAAAAGTAACACAAAATGAAGACATACAAGCAATCTGCAGTTTTGTTTTAACTCCATTGTTTTTCCCCCACTGTAATAGAAGCTCCACGGTGCTGCAGCTACACTTTTCAATTCTTATTTCCTCGTCATTCTTGTCCCCTAAGGAACTGATCAGATCTATAGTTGCACCCTTTAGGTCTTGCAGATCTTCCTTGCTCTTACTTGTAGCACCTGAGAGTAAAGTATCAATGACTGAGAGAATTGAATTAAGAGACTCCAGCTCATTCCTGGTGCTGTAGAAGTCCAATGGTACATCGCCTCTACCAAAGTAAAGTTCTGCCTGAAACAGCAATGAACACCATTCATTATTATGATGACAATACAATGCATTTATATAGTCATCAGATGGCAGCTTTACCCAAATTTTGGTCTTTGGCAGGAAAAACAGTGCTCAAGACGGAAACCTAGTTGTGCCTCTAGACCTACTATAGAGAGCAGAGCAGCCACAGTTTACCTCATTCAGGTGTATTACTCTTGCGTAACGGAGAGCTGCTTGCAGTGTAATCTTTGTCCATTCAGGACATGTGGCACTTGAGAAGTATATCCGAACTTCAGATTCTGAACCATTAATATGCATCAAAATCTGTTGAAAGGAGAGGCATCATTAAACACTTAACTGTATTTAACTAAATGGCATCCTATCACAAAGATTTATGGGATTAAAAGATGAACAAAAGGAAAGTAGAAATGAGCTACATATTTGGACATTCACAAGAATCAGAAAAAGAGAAAGACAAAAATAATATGCCAACATGAGACACCAAAGTGTAGTCATAGTTTTCATGGCACCAAGGAAAGGCTAGGCAACCACGGGGCGCCTAGGTGCCTAGGTGTCTAGCCCTCATCTAGGCGATGGAATTTAAAAATAAGAAGCTGATGGATTTCTTCCCCTTCTGAACTAGGTTTTTTTTCGGTTTATGTATCAACCTACAAACCTCTGAACTCACTTCTGTGCTAGTGTTTCTTGCAGTCTTGCTTCAAGTAGGCAAAACAGAATATTAGAGTTACAACTTACAAAGTTAGAACTTAAAAGAAGAACTGAAGGGGGTGTAGCCCCTGTTTTAGACCAACAAAAGAAAAGAACATAAGAAGAAGAAGGGGGCAGAGCCCCTATTTTAGATCAAGAAAACCTAGGGAACAAATACTAAAATAAAAGAAGAAAACGAATAAGAAAGGTAGGGGGCGGAGGCCACGGAGCCCCTGTTCTAGACCAAGAAAAGCTGGTGAACATATACTAAAATAGAAGAAGAATATGAAGAAGAAAAGAAGAGGTGGAGCCCCTGTTTCAAACACCAATGATGAGAAAAAAAAAAAAAACTGAAAGAATGCAAGAAATTTAAGAACAAAAGAAGGGGGCAGAGCCCCTGTTTCAGTCCAATAAAATGATTCAAAAAGCTTGGGGAAAAGATACAAAAAGAAAGAGGGAAAAAATGGGGCATAACCACTGTTTTAAACCAACAAAAGGGAAGGAAACAAAGCACAAAATGAAGAAGATAAAGTTTGTGTGGGGAACGATGGAGGGCTCTTGTCCTCTCCTCTTCCTCTGTTCGATTCTTTTGTCAAAGTGAAACCCTCGAAGATAAAGTTTGTTTTTACTTTCCTCACAACAAAAACATGATAACATGCAACAGGTTCTATTATAAAAAACTAAAACCAACCAATAAAATATTATATATTTATATTTGTTTTTATTTAATAAGCATTATATATTATATATTTAGTTCTAGGCACCTGCCTAGTCACCTAAAACTATCTTTTCTTGGCATTGAAGAGCACCTAGTTGCCTAGGTGACACCTTATAACTTTTCTTTTTCGGTAAGATTAGGAGCTACACAAGATGAGGGATAGCACTGCCCCAAGCATCGCCTCTATAAATATACATTAAGGCACTAGGAAAGAGCAAAAATACAAAAGTTTAGAGGATTGGTAGAGGAAGAGAGAGCTTGATGCATCATCCAATCCACAGCTTGGTTCACTTCCCTAAAGGAGTGGACATAGGAGATACCACACTCCAGACTATCGGCCAGCTTCAAACATTCACCAATGACAGTCTTCAGCCTCCAAGGAACATCGATCAGCTTCTTAAGGCAGGAAATAACAAGGAGAGAATCACCTTCAATACAAATGGGGTGGTCCCTGAAATTCAAAGCAACATTATGGGCTTCCCAAGCCGCCCAAGCTTCAGCAACATTAATAGTGGCCATGCCAATTGAATAAGCTTTAGCATCTAGCTCATCACCAAGGTTCCTAGCAATGCAAGCAATCAAACAAGCCCCATCATCCTTTCTTGATGCATCAAAGTTTATTTTGACAGTACCATCTCTTGGTGTCTTCCAGACAATGGGCCTTTACGATTTTAAATTATTTGGATTGCTAATATTTGCTACACACAAAAATGATTCCTTATAAGAGTTCAAAGCTCTCACAATAATACTTGACGGGGGAAGACACCGATTGTTAAATTTTTTTTTTTCTATTTTTCCAAAGAAACCAAAGTATGAGGATTTATTTCTCATAGGACATGGGCTCCATCGAATCTGCCGCACTCTGCAGATTACTGCTTAGAATTTTATCAACCATGCATCTAGAAAATAAATCTTAAACAACTCAGCAATCCAGAACATGGAAAGAGAGAGAATAGTAGTCCCCACATGTCCCCCCCCCCCTACCCTCTATTCATGGGGCACCAAAATAAGCCCCTTTTCATGAACAAAACTGAAGTTTGGGTCCAATCTCACTTCTCACTTGGTGAAAATTCCAATAAATGGGGCTCAAGGATTGAATAATGTCAATGTAGAGTTTCCCTATCCAATAGGAGACACGGATTGGCAATATCATTTCTCCACATGACACAAATAGTAAAAGTGACCTTCAAAAGAATTCTCATTGACCAAATATAAGGTTTTTATTGAATATAAACTAGATATAGCTCCCATCTAAAGCAGTACTTCTGAAATTCATACTAAGAAACTCGGGTCATACTACATCTCCATCTATAATGGCTGTAAGTCTATCCAAGTAGCAGTCTCATCAGCTCTCCTGAATAAATGTCTAAATATGATCTTAAGCAATAAAGCCGGAAAAAGTCATGCTTGAGTCTAGTAAGGAATACTAAAGTTTGAGTCTTTCACTAAATCTGCCAATGATGAGTTGCACTCAACCTTAATAATTGTGAATCCTCTTTTATAGAAAGCTAAAGGCCTTATAACTGAGTTTGGAATTGATTTTAATGACTATTTTGTAAATCCAACCATTAATCTATCTCCAAACCAAGCCTAACTTAACTAGTTTTACTGTTCCGTTTTCTTTTGTCATGTCCTCCACCTGCATGGAAAACTTTTGATTGACCTCTTGCACTTGACCCAGATATGTTACATTTCAATATGCTGAACAACAAGTATCAAAAAGTGAAAAGAAAACAATATTTCCTGCAAGCTTCTTGATGCTCATTTTCTTCATTTAAACATTGTTGTGCTGCCAATTTCATTTTTGTTGAGTACATTTTGAATGTGAATGTAAACGGTCTTTTTCCATGCATTAAGTCATTACACTACTGATAGAAAGTTTGTCACTACCAAGCTACATAGTCCCACATCATACATCCAATTATTTCCTGGTTGAAAGATCATGGTAAGTTATACTAAATAACTACTTGCAGCATGACTCAGTTGACCTTGTAAAAGTGTGAAAAAGACAAAAAAAGGAAAAAATGTAGGCTCCTTCATTATCTTCAAAATATGTGATCTTTAGACTCCAAGTGTCTAATGAGTCTGATTTCAACTGCCATATCCATAAGGATGTATCAATTTGGTGAAGTAAATTTGGATGCAAAAAAACAAATAAGATAGCTTTTGACATTAGAAAATGCTCACCTTCTTTTTTTCAAGTAATGGATCATCCTTAGAGATTTTGAGGACTAGGGAATGTCTATCATTAATCCCCATATTCCAGCAATTTAAGAGTAGCTGCAAAATGAAGTTCAATCAGTACTACAGATTCTAAAAGTCATATGTATGAAAACTAATAAATTAATAAATAAAATCAACATAATTGGTACATAAACCCCACTCAAACAGCTTGAAATGATGTAATATGATGAAATCAATTGTTCCATTTCATTTTAAAAATGAAGAATTCATTAAAGATCAAAACAGAAGGATACAAAGAAAACAAGCCTCAAAAACAATGGTCCCTACCTGAAAGGGAAAAGTTAAAGAAAAACAAAATACAACACAATTAGGGATTGATACACATATTTCACCTCAGTGAGACATTTGAACAAATCGTGTCTCATTTTCCATGAAAAACTTACTTTTGTTGAGACAACAGTTAAAAAAGTTGATAGAAAAATAAAGCTGATAATACAAGAATAAGCTCATGTACTAGAGCCCCGAAAGATCAGATTGTTAAAATTATATCATAGGTATTAACAGCCTAAAAGGAAGCAAGAAAAGAAAAGGAGAAGAGAATAGTATGAGGTACAAACTAAAGGAGACTATCTTCTTCTTTCTTTATTTCATTTCCCTCCTTGATTTGAGATTACAATATCTTATAAGTTTCTTAAATTGAGCTGACTCTACAAGACAAAAGAAGCATGGAGTACACATCTAGATAAAAGTGAAGAGCATTAAAGTAGCTCTTAACGCTGGAATTCTAAAATGCTTATAGAAGTCTAAGTTTCTTCTATAAAAAGAAAGTTTTATTTTTCCATGCACGTTTGTTGCTCATTTATGTCAAATAAAGATGGATAAAAAACAAAATGGTACATAGTATTGCCCCTCAAGAATCCTTGGAATTTCAGAATTATGCATGTTCGACACTGAGACTTCATCCATTTAGAAGAGTCCATACTTCATCTATTTAGGAGTAAGAAACACTGGTCATAAAGCAAGTCTGAATCTAAGATATTTGGCAATTGCATAAATAGAAAATTCACACTTGTGTGTCTGTATGCGTGTTTCCAGGAACAAATCACGTCATAATGGACCTAGTAAACAAAAACAGAGTCAAAATACAACGCAACAGGGAAAAGGGACAAAGATATTGCAAAATAGATTGAGAATGACAAAGTTTTTATGCACTAATACTGAAATAATAACTGCTAATAACAAACCAAAGGAAAAAAAAGACCAGACAAAGAGTACAATATACAAGTTGATCAAAATGTTCTTTCTATCTTTGATTGGTTCTCATTTTCTGATTTGAGAATTAGACATGTTTGGCATTGAAAATTGATATGCAGCTTCACGAACCAATCTCCTAAAGAGTTAACAAATGGAGAATAACAGAATTGTTTCGAGTTAGACGAATTTGCAAAGATTAACATGCAGAAGAAAGAAGGTTTTACCTCAGTAGGGCATTGGAGATCCTCCGTGAGAACTCAGACCAGAGCTAAAGCGTGAAGGATGAAAGAAAACCAGAAGTAAATCCTTAAGTTAGACCAAATGACATTTAGCACTGCACAACAAAAATGACAAAGTGGGACTGCGAGTGCTGGTATGAGTGGGAAGCGAAAGCAGAAGTAGAGGAATCCACTTTTTGCTGATAGCAGTCAGTTCCCAGAGTTGACGCTGTCACTTGGGCCGTTCTCTTTTTTTATTATTTTGAGAGCGGAAAAGTTTGTCCGGGATTTTTTATTTCATTGACGAAGATATCAATACTCTTTTTTTAGATTATTTTTTATCTTACGAAGGCACCCATTTCCTAGATGAGTAACTCCCACATAGTGAAAATTATCACATTTGGATGGGATAAAATTATCTTTTTGAACAATGAGGATAAAATGGTCCTTTTTTTATTTATATTGAAAATAAAAGAGTATGGATATATGCATGGGTAAGTATGTATTTCTTAGGAAACACTAACTTCCCAGAAAGTAAATGGGGCTTTGGGTTTTCTACCAAAAAAAAACTTTTCATTTGAGATAAAAGATCTCTTGGAATTTCACTTTGCCATGGATACCCCTTTTGTTTGGACTCCATTGGTTAATTTCGAAAATTTTTCATTCGGATGTTTTAAGTTTCCCAAATCCCCAAACTACCTTTCTTATTTATTTGAATGGTTTATGATTCAATTAATTTTTTAAATATAATATTGAGTTATACATACCAAGTACATGCTGGACCATTTAGTACAATTAGTTTATCTAAAGAAAGAGTGATGATTGTGCTCCATAGATTTCAAAAAACATTTGGCAATATAGATAATCAACTCACGATTAACTAACTCTTACCAAAAAATTTTCCTTCTCCTACAATAGTGTAACAGAGAGTTTTTTGTTGGTGTGGCAACAAAAGTGTTTTTCGGCGAGAAATGATCGAGGCATAAAAATGGAGGTATTTTTGTGTTAATTAGGGTTTAAGAGAAAATGGGTAAAGAAAAGAAAATAAGAAAAGTTCATATTGGTATTTTTGTAATTTAATGCTTTTTATCATCTGACTTAATGGTCAAGGGGTATTTGCGGCAAAGTGAAAATTCAAGGAAAAACTTCATGATCTTGTAAGTATAAAGTATACATCATCTATAGGATTTCCCTATCGCGCTTTCTAGTACGAGCCTCTTGGAAGTACACTGCATTTCATTACAGAATTTTGAAATTACAGCCCCCATAGTCTACTAATAGCCCCCGCCCCCATATAAATCAAACCCTACTTGTGGATTTGACATCAATCCACAATCAAGATTCATCTTACTTGTATGATAGGGCTAACTGAGGTGGATTGAATAGTCATTTGCCCATACACACCGAACATGAAAGACATAGAGTGATGAACCAAGTTTGCTCATGTAAAAGTTTCTATGGAAGGATGGGGCATACAATTAAGTCTTGTTCTCTCTGATTTTATATGGAGGACCATATATCAACTACCACAAACCAGATTTCATTGAAAAGATGAAAGAGATGTTGGTTCCAAAATACGGAGGTTTTTCAAATAAGTTTTGGTTCAATTGGAAGGAATGGTGGTGTAAACATCATTCTTTTACTTTATTTTATTGTTATTTCCCTCCCCTAGGGGCCCAACTCTTTTTCCCTTCATTTTCTTTTCTTTCCTTTTCTCTTCTCCTCCCTTGATGCTTCCCTCTGCCCGTTTCTCCATCTAAATCACCCTCTTTGATTTCCACTCCATCTTCTCCTCCCAATCGTTTTTTCCTTCCTTCTATTTTAGTTTTCCTCTCTCTCCTCCCATGCCCAGCCCTAACATCTTCCTCCTAGAACTTTTTAAACTCCAAAAAAAGAAAACGGAGAAGTACAGAAACACCCAATGCAGAATTCTGAATTCCAGCCCCCCTACTACTAGCCCTCTCCCCTCCTATAAACCACATCCTGCCCATGAATTTGGCATCAATTCACGGTCAGAATGCATTCCCCCTGTACTATAGGGCTATAAAATTCTGATCTGGGCTGATTGGTCATTCTCCCAAAAGAAAAGGTTCCTCATCTCTCCTTTGGCTACAACAGAACACAGAGGCAACCATTGTCTAATCAACAACACTCTATCCACTCAACATCCAAGTTCTATTCAAATTTCATCAGCTATTCTCTTCTCTTGTTCTCTCACTTCATTAGGGCAACCATTGTCTCAGCCATCCAATTGGTTTCATAGCAGGGCCGCTTCACAATCCACCATCTCCCCAAGTGATCCAAGACGCTCAAACACGAGATAGCAGGGTCTCAACCATCCAATGTCTCAGCCATTCAATTTGTTTCATAGCAGGGTCTCTTGTTCTCTCACTTCATTAAAATACTTAGGTCTGGACTAGGAGTTAATATTGTCGAAATTCTGCTATTCTTTCTCCATGTATCATTGACCATTCGTTAGTTGGCTGGAATTCAAATTTATTCATTCACAAACTCTCTAGGCTAGTTTAATATCATCTTTACCACCAATATATTCTTGTATAAATTATTTATTTGTCACTTTTGTTTACCCCACTCCATCTTCCCTTCGTAATTAGAGTAGCTATATACAATTGTCATATTAACTCTTTACCTCATTGTTTGGTTTGCTTAGCCTCATTTGATTCTTTCCCAAGCATCTTCTTTTCTTTTGTTCTTTTATTAGTATTGCATCATTTTACTCCTTGTCTTAAAGTTTCACTACTGAACCATCAAGTTGCTTTAACTACTACTTGTAAGCTAGCTCCATCATATTTTATGTTCACAGTCTCTCCACCCCCCTCTTTTAGTTTTATTATTGCTTGTAAATATCTCTCTACTGTAATTCTGCTTTGTATACTTTTAAGCTCCAGTTCATGCTATTACTGTTTATTTGTAGTTTGCTCTATTTTGTGTGATTTCATTTTGGCACACCCATGCTCCCTACACACCTGATCCCATTTTCCACATTGCATGCTAGTATAAATTTAATTACAAAAACTTAGAAGCGTAAAACACAATATGGCATCAAACAAGTTCCAACTTCCTGAACTCAACTTGGAAAATTCCACCCACCCCACCATTCCCCCTACTCAACAAACAACCATAGTTGAAACAACGCCCAATTCACCTATAAATTCTACTTCTACACCTTACGAAGATGCAATTACTGCACTAAATCAACACCTAGCCGCACTGACCGCTAAAAATAGAAAACTCCACATTCCACACAAACTCCATCCTATCCCTCTATACAATCTATGCATACACCACTCACACAACACACATCACACATTACACAATCACCATCTCCTCTACCCACTCAACCTACTACCTAACCACTCCCACTAAAAGCAATTCTTCCTATTCCCCACCCACATCAAGAAAACATAGAGTTAATGGTCAACAAGCTAATAGCTAAATATTTAGACGACCACAAAACCTCCTTAGAAGCTTCCTCTTTACACAAGCTTTGTTCCCTTCCTTCCCCTCTCACATTAGCATTGTCCCCTTTCTCCCAAATTTCATTTTTCCCCAATTCACCTTATATGATGGAACAGGAAACCCTTATACAAACATAAAAGCTTTCCTCATTAAATATGTAAATATTCAGCACAATGACACCTTACTTTTACAACTTTTCCCCCAAAATTTAACAGGCTTAGCACTTACATGTTTCAAAATCTTCCTAGCCAATCTATCACCACCTTTTTCCAACTATCACGCCTATTCATTAACCATTTTTCTTATAATATTGAAGTTGAAGTTACCTTAGATGATTTAACCAACACGAGACAAAAAAAAAATGATGAAACATTTGCCTAGTTTTGCAACTAATGGAAATATTTATTTGTTTCAACCTTTATGCGTGTTCTTGTTCCCCAATCTCGCTTTCAACTATCAATCCTTTGCCTCTTTATCTTTGAAAAAGTTATACAACACGGTATAGCTATCCAAAGAGCCTTTAAAGAAAACGGAACCTTCCCCTTTAGGTCATCTCTTGGCACATCTTCTCGCATTTACACCCAACCCCGCTCATCCATCCATAACACAGATCAACACTTTACATATACACCAACCCAACATAAAAATGAATGAAAACTACTAAAAGTACTTAGCATCAATTATGCAGACTTCTTTCATAACCTCATCCAACGTAATATGATCCAACACTATAAATCAAACCGGATGCACCAAAACATAAAAATTATAGAGAAGACCAATACTACCACTTCCACCGCACACTAGGACACCTTGTAGGTAATTGTAATGCATTTAAATATTTTGTCCAAGATTTAATTGAAAAAAAAAAAAAAAACTCTCAATTGGCATCCCCCCACCTACCACTCACTCTTCCAGGACACCATACAACCAACCCTCTTTTGATGTAGGAATCTTTACAAACCCACTCTCTCCACACCCAACTGACATAAACATGCCTCAACCTATCTCTTCTTTCACAACAACACTTAATTCTCACCAAATTAACACTTTAGGGATCCATCATCTCGGTAACCACACCACCACATCGAATCCTTTCACTACCGCCCTTCCCATATTCCTTATATTAATAGACCCCCAATACCTTCCCCTAAATCACAACCAACAGCTACACATATTTCACTCCCCTAGCTCCTTAAAAACTCAAACACCAATAGAACCACCTTTAATGATATCTTGGCTCATACACATGTTCATTCTACCTTATTGCCTTTGATTTACATGCTTTGCATGAACCCCTACTCACTCCTAATGTCATTACATTTGTTCCTACAAAAAGCACAAAACATAACCCATTTACATACCAACTAAAATTCAAGACCAAACTATTAATAATGTCCTAATAGATAACGGTTCAGCACACAACATTTTCACACTTGGCACATTTTACAAATTAAACATAGATACAACACACATTAGTGAATGCCCCATAGTCATCACCGCCTATGACAAGACCATTAGTTGGCACTATTTGGCTTCCATTATAGGTAGGTCCCTTAGTCCGCCCACCCTTTTCTATATTCTAGACATTCCCACTTCCTATAGTATGCTCTTAAGCCGCCCTTGGATCCACGACATTGGCGCCATACCATCTAGTTTACATCAATGTGTCAAATTCCCCTTTAACGGTAACCATCTTAGGATATTCTCCTTCTACCACCAACATTAGTCACATCCAATTTAGGTACCAAAACATAATTTCACACACGGACACAATGCTTTCTTCTCAACCTACCACTCACCCCCTTCTATTATTTTATCTTCTCAACCCCTAACTTCATTTCTCACATGGTCCACTCCCATAGCCCCTGCATTAACACTTCCTCTCCCACCCTACTAGCATATGATACTACTCAACCAACTATATCTCCAATTCATCTAGCTTCTACCTTTCCTATTTTCTTTGCTGACTCTCCTCACACCATTCACATGATCCACACACACACACACGCACGTCCCAGTCTACCTCCCCTTCATCCTCCCTTTGATAGACTTCCACCCCAACCACTTGCCCCCACTACCTAGTCCTCCTCCATTGATCACCTTTATCCATGATACAAAAAAAAAAAAACGCCAACTTTCATTCACTAGAGCCCTCACTTTTACCTTCACCACTACAATCCTCCTCTTTACCTCATCATTCTCCTTTATCCACTCATACCATAAACTTTCTCAGTGATACTAACTTTCCTATAGTGCTCACAACCCCTCACCAACTAGAAAATGACCCTACATCACTCACCGAAGACACATTTAATATTAACTTAGGTACTCAAGAAAATCCACACATTGTTAAAATAGGAGCTTGTCTTACAAAATCTGAATGTATCTACATAATTGGACTACTTAGAGAGTTTCAAGATAGTTTTTCTTGGTCTTATACCGATATGCCTAGCTTAGATCACTCTTTAGTTGTCCACTGCCTTGGCATTCTGCCTAGCACCTCGCCCCTCACCCAAAAGCTACGTCGAATATGCATCCAGACATAGCCATAGATGTTAAGGTTGAATTTCAAAAACTAGTTGATGTAGGCTTTATTTCCTCCACCGTTTATGCCGGTTGGGTAGCTAACATAGTTCCATCACAAAGAAAGATGGTTCAATTCATATCTGTGTAGATTATCGTGACCTTAATCGTGCATGCCCCAAAGATAAATTCCCCCTTCCAAACATTGACTTGTTAGTGGATAGTACAACCAGTCATAAAATGGTGTCCTTCATGGATGGCTTCTCTGGTTATAACCAAATTCATCTAGCTGAGAAAGACAAAGACCATACAGCCTTTATAACCCCTTGGAGCACCTATTGTTATGAAGTAATGCCTTTTGGTCTAAAAAATGAAGGAACCACATACCACCATTTTCCATGATCTCATGCATGACATCTTAAAAGATTATGTTGATGACATCCTACTTAAATCCAAAACTCGAGAGTCCCACTTCTTTGTCCTTAGAAGAGTGTTTACTCGCCTTCATCTTACAAGCTTTGCCTTAATCCCCAAAAATGTGTCTTTGGCGTTACCTTCAGTAAGCTTTTAGGATTCATAGTTAACCATTGGGGAATTGAAGTGGACTCTTTCAAAATCAAAGCAATTCAAAACAAGCCACCGCCTAGAACTATTAGTGAGGTGCGTAGCTTCCTTGGTTGACTCACATCCATTCGTAGATTTATTCCCCATCAAGCCCTTTATTGCAAACCTTTTAGTGATTTCTTACAAAAGGACATTCCCTTCGAGTGGACCCCTATTTGTCCAAAAGCTTTTGAAGACATCAAGTCCCTCTCCTCCTTTTCCCTCCTGTTTTTATCCTACCTCAACCAAACAAGCCTTTACTCCTTTATATTTTTGTTAGTGATGCCACTCTTGGTTGTTTATTAGCACAATATGACTCTTCCAACACAGTGCAATTTGTCTATTACCTAAGCCACACTTTAGTAGAATATGAATGCCACTACACTCCTTTAGAGAAAACTTGTTTAGATGTTGTCTTCGTTGCTCATAAGTTACTTAATCATGAATTCAAGTTAAATAATAAATTTGACCCCTTAAAATACCTCCTTAACAAACCAGCTCTCACTAGTCGCTCTACTAAGTGGCTTCTTATTCTTTATGAATTTGACATCTAGTATACACACCAAATTACAATCAAAGGCCAAGCAATTGCCGATCACCTAGCTACCCATGCCTTACCAAGGACTGAAGTATCGGTACCGGGTATCATATCGGATAGCTCAGATACGGATACGAATATGAGTACACTTTGGAAACACATGGATACAGATGAAAAACATGAAAACACTTGGATACATTGGGAAAATGAATAGTAATTTCATAAATATATTACTAACAATATGTTTAATGTCACAATAGCTACAAATAAATTATAAATACATAAAAATTGTATATTTTGGCGGTATATATGAAGATATATATTACAATTAATATAGCCGAATGCAAAGATATCATACAATTTTATTGATATGCATCAATCAAGATTCCAAGAGACATTATATATATTTTTACAAATCAATACATGCACAAAGCCAATATTATCTTATTTTATATTAAAGTTCAAGGCATAAAACATATCCAACTATTATATTTCAGTTATTATATCTTTTTTTTTCTATTGTACTACTTATAATTTTTAACATTAACAAAAATGATAACTAAAACTAATTCTCAAAATTTTGGTGAACAATATTTTCATTTTGGTAAACAATAAATATGTTATTATAAAATGCAAATCAAAATATTAATTGATAATTTATAAAAATATATCAAATCTGTTTAAATTTCAAAGATATGTATTATATGAAAATTCATAAATTTTAGTTACTACAAGAATTATTTCATTATTAATATTTTTATTTTTATAAATTTCTAAAATATTTTCATAGATCAAATCAACTAAGTTGTTTGCTTTCTTCTGAATTATTTTTACATGAAATATAAAATGTTTATAATTGTTAATTGATTAGTTATTATTTTATTTAATGCTTAAATGTCAAACTTTATTGCTTATAAACTCCTATTTTATAGATATATGTACCTTCTATCATTTTAATTTAGTATATTATATGTTATTTTCATCAATTTATAAACTTTAATTAATTTTTTTCTTAAACTTTGAGGTTTATGTCTTGCAACACCTTGAGGCTTGCGCCTCACCTTTTTGGTCCATTACGCCTCAACTACACCTTTAGCTTTTTAAAACCTTGCCATAAAGTACCATGTCGATAGATAGGTTGAGAGGTATAAAGCCCACCTTGTTTCCAAGGGGTATACTTAGGTCTATACGATTGATTATATGGAGACCTTCTCTCCGTTAGCTAAGGTGACATCTTTGAGAGTTTTATTGTCTTTGGTAGTAAGTCATGATTGACCGCTTTATTAGTTTGATATAAAAATTAAATGCCTTTCTAAATGGTGACTTAATAGAAGAGGTCTATATGGTCATTCCATTGGAATGTATGATAAGGAGATGCAAGGTAAGGCTTGTAAATTGAAGAAATATCTTTATGGATTTAAATAGTCTTCTCGTACTTGGTTTGATAGATTCTATGCTGCACTTATTCAGTTTGGTTATACACGGACACAATTAAACCACATTCTATTTGTGACAACGAAAGCTTTTCATGCTCCTTCCTCATTGTTTACATGGATGACTTTGTTGTCATAAGTAGTGATGCACAAGAAATTCATGACTTCTAATACTTCCTTAACTCTAAAGTTGAGATTAGTGATTTAGGAGAGTTGCGGTATTTTTTGAGCATTGAGGTTGCTAGGTCTAAATATGTTTCCAGGTGTTTTAGACCCCCAATTTTTTTAATAATAAAAAATATCTTATAAGCTTCCCAAAAAACTAAAAAAAAGTATGTACCGATCGTTTCTAAGTATCGATACGATACAACCGAAAGTCGTATCGTATTGATACTTTGAACCATGGGTCTAAAAAGGGGTTTTTCATCTCTCGAAAAAAGTATGTGTTGGACCTTCTCACTAAGATTGGGAAATCTGGTGCCAAGTCAGCTTCTACTCCTATTGATGTGAATCCTAAGCTTTCGGTTGATGATGGGGAAGTTCTTGACCAATAAGGGAGTGTTTCAGAGATTGTTGGGGAAGCTTTTATACATGTGTATGACACAACTAAACATTTCCTATGTTATGAGTGTGATTAGCTAGCTTATGCAAGTTCTTAGAGAGACACATATTGCTACTATAGAAAGGGTGTTGTGTTATCTTAAAAGGACTCTTGGGAAGTGTATATTCTTTGCTAAGCATCGACATATAAAGTTAGAAGCATATACAAATGCTGAATAGGTAGGCAATATAAATGATAGAAGCACCACATCGGGTTATTATGCCATTATGGTTGGAAACATTGTCTCCTGGAGGAAAAGCAGTCTGTTGTTGCCCAATCTTCAGCTAGGGCAGAGTATAGGGATATGGCCCTTGGGGTGTGAGTTGTTGTGGCTTAAATTTCTCATAAAAGATATGGAAATTGATTATGATATAATAATCAGACTGCCATTAGCAGTGCTCATAACTTGGTTTTCGAACTCCTCTCTACCTAAGGAGGCGAAGTTACAACAAATTTCAAACTACTCTCATAAGATTTGTCAGAGCAATTGGCACATAAAAATGATGCTTCACGTGAAAAACTAACGGAAAGAGTGCTAAGTGGACCCACAGCCTGCTCAACAGCACGAGGCGTTTAGCTAATCAATCCGAACTCCTCATTCAGCAAAGATAAAATGACAACCTCCAACAAATCCACATTGACCCTGTTCAAGCCCTAGCGAGCTCTCACATTTGTACCAGAATGCTAAAGATTAGGATTCTATCCAGTCCAACCGTCTCAACCTCAGAAAACAGACAACAAAAAGCGAAAAAAAAAATCAAGTTTTTGATTATGTTATGTCTTCTTTTTTGTTCTTTCCGTCCCAACAAACAAATGAAAAAAAAAAGAAAAGAACAGGCCAAAATTTTGGTTTACATTTGAACTCCCCGGTCCAAAAATTACAAGAGAAAGGAGAAACTTTGTTCTCCAAATCAGGTTTTTTATTGATTATAAACTTGAAAAAAGAATGAACAAAATGGTCAGCCAGCAAAGCAGTACCTACGGAATATGATAGAGCTTGGATGGTTTAAGCTTATCAGTAACATTGAAGTACTTCAAGGTCTGAATCCACTTCTCCTGATTCTTGAGGCGATGCACAGCGATCGTGTCCGGCCAGAGCTCGTGTGTACATCCAGTCGGCGGTTGGGGGAAGTCGTACATCGACCACTTGGCGTTGTACCTGTTCTTGGCCCGGTGCCCATCACGAAGCCATTCGCCGAACACCTTGTCTTCAGGCCCCTCTGTGCGGTTCTTCGGTATGTCGGACGTACTAATCCATTCCACAATATCCCATGAGACTAAATAGCCCATGCCAGACATGTATTCACGGAAAGGGTCCATGCTTGGGCAAGGAATAACGTAGCCGTAATACAAATCTTCTCTGGGCAAGGGCCTCAAGGACTGAACCAAATTATCCAATCTGAAATAAGTATCATCGTCTCCCTTCATCACATAATGGTAAGGTGGGTACGGCCCATCTGTGCTATTCAGTAATTCAGGCAAGCTAGAGAAATACGTATACGTCTTACCGTTGTTCATGTTCTCTTTACAGTTGAGAATTATGATGTCGTCGTAGCGCATGATCTCGAGCGCAACCAGGACCGTTTGATCCTCCTTGGTCAAGTTACAGAACACAAACTTGATGTCCACTTGTGCGCCAACTGGTGACTGTGTGCCGTAGACCATTCGAAGGAAGTGGCGCCTGTGGTACTGGTCCGGGAGCGTAGGAATCCCTATGAGTACCCGGAGCTCAGGTAGTGCCGCCGCTGAAGTTGAATTTTCCGGCAGCGAAGCATTAGAAGGTGAGGTGGTGTTCTGGTAAGACATGTTCAATAGACCCTCGAATCGCACTCCGTTGATGGAAGCCAAGGCACAGAGGAATACGATGAGGAAGAAAGTGGATAAAGCGAAGGATGTTAGTCTTGGGGACGGTTGTCGCCGGTCGAGCCTTGCAGTAGTAGTCTTCATCATCATCTGGATTGAAGCTGATGGAGAAGAAATGAATCATGGATACAGGGAGACTGAATATATACCAATTCACGTTGTTTTTAATTCCTAAGGCCTAACTTTCTTAGGTGCAAGCGCAACAGACTAGTTGGCAGTTTCTTGCATTTGGGTCTTCCTTTTGACCTTTCTTTCCGGGAAGGAAGATGACGGAATAGTGAAAAGCATGACTTTAGTATGGCCAATGGACTAATATGACCTTCTGAGCCATCACAAACGTCATGGGCTGTTAATGGGTAGGGCACATGGATAGATCCGAACCTAGTGGCCCAGGGTGGGTCTCTGTCCATTATCTGATCCTGATTACTATTGGGTTGGAATCAGTTTTGGTTGTTCCGAACCGAATAAGACCCGAACAAAAAGTGTCAATTTAAATACCTCTAACCGTGGTTTTATAGTTGAATTACATAAATATTACTTGTGGTTTTATTAAAACTACTTAAATATATTTTGGGTTTCCATATTTACTTATAATAAATACCTCTAACCGTTAAAGATTGACAGGACAAGAATGCCCTCAGTTGTTCATTAAATTTTCAAACGGGCCTTCTGTATCCAAGCCCCCTCTCTCTTTTCTATAGTACAACAACTCTCAAACTGAAAACCTTAGATTTTGCCTTTCACAATGCTTCGTTTCTGGGAGCATAGAACATTACATTTTGACCTCACGCTCCAGCCACCAGGCCAAGCCAAAGTTCCTCAGATGGGCACTAAAGCGGGAGAGGTTTCTTGATCTCAACAACCCCTCTTCCTTCCAATCGCTGTTAAAATGGGTGTTAAGTAGTTGATATGAAGTGGGGGATAAAGTGATATAAAGTTCACAAGTCAAAACTGTTTTCATTCTATCAATGGTGAATCAGCATAACAGTCGTTAAAGTGGGCGTTAAAATGATAGAGTTGCAGTTACCGGAGAAGTATATTGTAGTAACCTCTAAAAGGTCCATTCAGATGAGCTCCAGTTCATTTTTAAATTTTGGGGTTGAAGTCTAATCATTCTAGTTGAAGTAACTCTCACATGCGACCTGACAATACATATATCTTTCACCAGTTTGTATTGATCAATCCAAAACATTTTAGGTAAAAACACAAAATGTATTTGGTATTAGGTTGGTCAATACAAATTTGATGAGAATATATTTTTCTTCTACCACAAATGCTTTGAGTTATTAATACAATGTTTGATACCATTGCTATTTCTTCAAAAAGTATCAAATTTGTGTTTCGTTGCCTATATTTTTTTAGTGGATGTGGTTATCTGGTATGATGTGATAAGACAATTTCTCAAAATTTTATATTGACCATCTTAAAACCTTGCAAGTAAAGTGGAAATGGTATCAAACACGACCAATTGGTCAACCATCCCTTTGTTGCTTCAACACCAAACATTCTTGTTTGTTATAATAGAAGAATGAGGGGTAAAATTGAGATTATAAGAAAATCTAATAGGCATGTAAAACAATTCTAAATGTCTTTTAAGGCTGTGATTGGTTTGAAGGAAATAGTAGGAAAAGGAAAAGAAAGGCAGGAAAACCTTAAAAAACCTTGTATAGGTCTTTATACCTTTCCCTACCTTTTCCTTCAAACCAAACATAGCCTAAGGGAAGGCCTATTTGTATTATGTCGAGCCATCTTATAAGTGATATTCAAGTAGCTTTTGAAACCATGGGGTATATTTAAGTAGTTTGGTCACATTATAGGGTCTATTTAAGTAACTAACCCAAAGTACAATTGTCTAAGCATCTATTATATTGTAATTGGGTCTTATTTGGTTAGACTCAATAGTTCCAATTACAAACCCCACATGGTCTAGTTTGGAACTAGGGTTGTCAAAGGGTCAATTCTATCCAACCAATTGAACCAAACCAAATTGATTATATCTATTTTGGTTTTATGATTTTGTCCTAATAAATAATTTGGTCAAATTTGGTTTGGACTTATTGATATTAAATGAGTAGAAAAGAGGTAATTTTAAGATATTTAATGCATTCAATCCCCTCTCATTAAATCCAACATTTAAGGTATTAACTTGCATTCACCTTCATTTAATCATATATTTTAAGGCATTTTTGTTTCTTCTCATCATTAAATTCTATTAATTAAATTAATATATAATAAACTAATAATTCCAATAACATAAAAACTTATACTTTTAAAATCTACCTCAAAAAAAAATAGTGTATTCGTCTAAGTAGTGGTAAGAAATTAAACCACTTTGGGTCAAATGGGCATATCCATGTTGTAGCAATTAAATGATAAAATTCAATAATAGATAAAATACAAAAAAAAAATTGGAAACATTTTTAGCATCATATATTCAACATATCAAACAATAATAAGTATGATAAATAATGAATATTTTTATTAATGATGGAAATGTAATGTAAAATTTAAAACCAATTGAAAATAAAACTATTTTCCTATTCTCCCTCATTAAATCTCATATCTAAGGTATATTCTCTCATTAAATCCTATATTTAAGATATTTTTTCTTATCATTAAATTAAACTAATTAAATCTAAAATATTAATTTTAATAGCATAAAAATAAATATTTTGAAAAGTAATTTGAAAACAAAACCATTTTTCCCTTCCAGTGGTGGGTAAGCAATTCAAGTATTCAATCATTTAGGATTAAATGGGTTAATAAATAATGCTATAATTAAATAATAAAATATATAATACAAAAAAATTGGACATATCTCTAATATTATATATTCATTATACTAAACAAAAATAAGTATGAAATGTAATAAGTATTTTTATTAATGATGAAAATGGAATACCAAATTTAAAATCAACATAGAAATAAAATGATGCCATAATCAAATAATATTTTTTTAAAAAACAGAAAATACAAAGAATCACTAAAATAAAAAAATAGAGAAAAGTTTTTGCACATATTTAATGTTATATATTTATAAAAATAAAATATTGGGTGCATCTCTAATATTATGCAATCATTATATTGAACAAAAATAAGTATTATACATAGGAAATAATTTTATCAATGATAGAGATGTAGTACAAAATTTAATGTCAACCTAGAAATCAAACTATTTTTCTTTTCAAGTGGTGGGTTAGTGGTTTGGGTCAAATAGATTAGTTGATAATACGATAGTTAAATAATAAATATTTAAAAAAATAAAAAAGTACAAATATTCAAAATAATATATAAAAATATATTAATTATGTTAAATAAAAGTCAAGTGTGATAAATAATTATTTATATAATAAGATGAAATATATAATTTAAAACTGATCAGAAAGCAATGCTATTTTATTATTTAGATGGTGGGTCAATGATCCAACTTTTTAAAGAAACTCATGATGTGATAATGGAATAATAAATATTCTAAAAAAGATAGAACACAAAAAACAAAAAAGTACAGAATCTTATCGAAAACATTTGGAAACATTTCTAATGTTGTATATTCATCATATTAAATAAAAATAATTATTAAAATAAAAATTATTTTTATTTATTCCAGAAATAGAATACAATGTTTAATAATAATAATAATAGTAATAATTGTTTTTATAATTTAAAATTTCCATATACAAATACACGTACTTAATTACAGGTTGACAAAAAAAATATAAGATAGTTTTGATTAAAATCACTTGATTTATTGACATATAAATAATTTACTATTTTACTGTCATATTTATTGGAGTAATTTTATCAAAAATCAAACTTTAAGTTGTTATTTACATAAAATGTCAGTATAATAGTCGGGTCTAATCGATTATCCCAATTAATAATCGAGACCGTTCAGGGTCTATCGATTTGCCCCGGTTAATAATGGTTCAAGAGTGATACAAGCTGTCCCTAACCATACCCGACCCGTTGATAGCCCTATATCGAGACTGGCTGTTTATCGGGTCAGGGGTCGGGACCAGGGCTACCTGACACGCATGAGACCCGATCCCATTAATTGTAACCGGTAAGGTTAGATTGGTCAATGGCGACTAATAAAGGCTGGACAGTCGACTCGGTTTCTTAATAAGTTGTAAAACTAGATTTTTTTCTTCCTTGGGTTTTATGCAACTACAAAAAATTCAAAGACGGAAAAAGGTAATGGAGCTGAGCCTAACTTCAGCTCCACTTCAGTATATTGTACTCTTTTTTAGAAGTCCAAGGTCAACACGTAGCGTTAGGTATTTTTGCATGGGCTTGGGGTGGTAAATTGTAATTTTGTCTCAGATCGGTTTGGGGCCATTTTCAACCCGAGATCACATCTCCACCCCATAAGGAGCCTCCCCACAACGCCCCACAGCACATCACTGCCATGTATTAGGAACATCTCCCAATGATGATATCATCAGAACCGGTATTATCATCAAGAGATGTTTCTAATGCACGCAGGAATGTACAGTGGAGATGTGAACTCTTTTAACCAATGCTTTCCGCTTTTCACTTATTTTCTACCGGTCCAAAACACAGCCTTAATTATGGATTTTTTGGGGTTCATCCGTTCAGTGGATCCTGAGAGAACATACCAAGACTGGACCCAAACTTATTATTTTAAACTTCCTGTTTTTTTGGGATTCTTTCCTTCTTTTTTTTTTTTTTTCCCGAATCGATACTACGTCAATACTGGAACGAATCAGATAACAAATCAACGAGCGACCCCTCAATTGGTATTTTAAGTTTTGTTTGTTTTTTAATTCTTCATTCATTACAAAGACTCTGTAGCTTAGAAAAGCTCACACATGGCAATGCTACATGATGCAGGTCACTGCTTGTGTACTCTAAACCATACTTAAGAGAAACGCCATATCCTCTCTCTTTAGCAATCTTTCTTAATAGAAAGATGCCCATGTGGGGCTGTTACTTGAGAAGTTCATTCAATCCATGTGCCTTGTTCACGTTTTTGCTGTGAATGTTCACTGCTTTTACTCTTATCGTGCGTGTAGGTGACGTTTCCTCTATATCTCTCTCCATACATGTTACATGGGTGCGCCACCAATTGAACATAAATACTGGACGATGGGAAACGTTACAAAGGCCTAGAACGAACATCCATTCAGGCTTGTCCATTATGTAGACCTTATTGGATGGACAGGCCAACTTGGAAAGAGTTTTCTATGCTTGACCTTGGCCCAATGGGCCAGGACTTCTTTTTCTAATCTTTTCATACTGCGGTACAGTCTAGGACTCTGGGTTGCCAATTTATGCTTAGCAGCCTCAGCTAGGAAGCTTTTGATTTTAAAAAAGGGTAGATTGCTAAAACCACCCCTGAAGTTTTAGGTTATTGCTAAAATCTCTCTTGGACTTTCTAACATAGTTGCAATTAGATCCCTTCTGTTAAAATCCTGTAAAAACAGACATGAAGATGTCCAAAATACCCAAGCAGTTACTTTGATCAAAATGTTGATTTTTCAAGTTTTCTCTATTTATGAATCACTACCCCAAATCCTTTCAATCTCTTTTCTAAAATTAATTTATTTTTCAAATTTGCCCTTTAGATCAATCACTCAAAGGTAAAGTTGCAATTTTTTAAATTCTCTTTTTTTTTTTAATAAAGTTTGTATTATTTTTTCTGTAGAACCAGCCTCAATAGTAAATGTCAGGTATTTTGGACATTTTAATGTCTCTTTTTGGAAGATTATAGAGGGGGTTTACTTGCAACTGTATCAGAAAGTTCAAGAGAGGCAGTTGCATTTATCAAACTTTAGGGGAGGTTTCAGTAATTTACCCTTTAAACTATGAACCAAAGTGTATAGTAATATTTGCTTTTAAGGCTCAGTTTGGAAAGACTACAAATAGTACACTAAGTAGAATACAAAACATTTTATTTTATATTATTTTTTTATGTATTTATAATGTACATATTTGCATTTGTATTCTTTCCAAACTGAGCCTAAATGACTTAAACCTCCCATGAGACCATGATATTTGGTCAGTGGGTCATTGATCAAATCAATGGATTTTTGCTAAGGATTGGGTTGAGGGTGAAATGGAACTGGTTGCTTGGACGGTTCCTAGGCCAAATGGTCTGACCATCCAGCTCAACAGCGATTTGAAAGCAAAGTTTTAACCCATGTTCTTTTATTTCTTATGTATATTTTAACTATAAAAAATCATTATTAAAAGGGGTAATTTTGTCCTATCCAAGTGTTGACCAATAAGAACCAAAATCCCATTGACTAATTTCCCCACTCTCAAAATCCCAAAAATGAATGGGCCATTAGCCACACATGAAATCACATGCGATGGCATCTTAACAGATTTTTAACGAAAGAGAGATTTTTGTTAAATGACATAACCTGATAAGGGAGTTATTTGTACATTTTGAAAATAAAAGGGAGGTGATAATATTTAGTATAAATAAACATGAATAGAGGTTTAAGCCTTTTACCCTTCTTCTAAGGGGATGTTTGGAACCATGGCCATTTTTCATAAAAGCGGTGCCACGTCGGATCTATATAGGCGTTTCAACAAACACCCATGTATCTCATTGTTTGGTTCAGCTGATTATTAAAAAAATCGGGCATATCTCAAAAATCAGGACCCCACTAATGCATGAAATCAGTGAACCATTTCCCCCAACGGTTGACTGATGTGTATCCTATGTGGTGCTTATCTGTCAGTACATACATGAAAATCGATGATGAAAATCACCTTACTAAATAACATAGTGTTGTTTACTACCTATGTGGCAAAAATATAATTTTGTGAGAAACGGGTCTTGGAAGCATGGACATTTTTTCTTAAAAATTGGTCCCAAAAAGCGTTCACGCTTCCAAACACCAAATAAATAAATGACAATCTCATGAGCCAAAACAATTTTAAGCCCCAACCTAAAAAACCTAAAATGGAGCTTTGTGTTTTTTGAGTTTCAAAAGCTCAAATCCAAAAAAAACACATAAAAAGCTGCTTAAAAAACATAAAAAAGCAACCTTGGACCATCCAAATGTAGGGCAGCCCTTTCAACGAGAAACCAAAAGTTCACACTAATTGACTATTAATAACCATACGTTTTCTTGAAAGTTTTAATAACCAACTGTTTAGGATCTAAAATAATGCTTTAGTAAATTTGATCTGGCAAGTGGTGTTTAATCTATGCAGTTAACTTAAGACCATTGAGTCATTGACATGTTTGGACGCTGGAGCTAGCGGTGGACAGGATATGCCACCTAACATTTGTCATTTTTTTAGAAAGAAGACACTCTGCCTACTACAAGGCGTGAGGGAGTGGGTTTGCTAGATCCTCTTGAGAGATTTTATTCGGATCTCTCTACGCATAAAAGTTCCACAAAGGCTGTACTAAAAAGCTCAAGGATTAACTCATTAAGGGAAGAAGCCAAAGGTTCTTTTCAAATAAAAAATATACTTCACTTTCTTCTTTACATAAAGATGAATCCCTCATGATAAATAATGACTTGTATTAAGAAAATGAGATACAACAACTTTACTTGAAGGGACTTCTTTCAAATGAAAAGTGAGAGAATTCGTTCATATGCCAAAAGGTAATATCTTTACTTGAACAGCAATACTAACAAAATCTAATACATGATTATAAATATCAAAATAAAGAATTATAGAATACATAGTTAGGTATGTAAGTAACTTGTATATTCTATTATGAGAGATTGAGAATAACTTTATATATTCTTACTATTTAAGTTGGGTTTATCGTCCTTTCATCAAGTAGAAATCATCTATAATCATGTCTACTAAAACTTTTTCAGCAATTTCCCTCTTAACGTAGACAATCAAATAATCTATGATAAAGTCATCCTCTATCATATTGCAGCCGATTTAACAATTTTTATGACTGAAAAAGCTCACTTAGTAGTTGTCGTTGAAACAAGAATAATCAAAATAAGACAAATCAGTCTATCAATTAAAATATAAACTTTTGACGCTCTAGTTTCCATCAACCTTTAACAAGTAAATTTTACAAATTTGGATGGTTGGGCACATTAAGCTTATAATGCTATAATTGATATGTTAATTGAATTTTTTCTTGATAAAAAAATATAAAGGATAAAACTTATCGACCAAATTACATATATCATCAACTTTGAAGGATTTATAAACATCCATAGGATCCAAAGCTGAACTCAAAACAAGAAACTCTATTGATTGCTCATTGAATCTGCTAGGGGTGAACATCATTTGGTTAAAACCGAATTACCGAACCAAAAATTTTGGTTCGGTTTTTTCAGTTTTTGTTTAATTCGGTTTTTAACAATTTCGGTTTTGGTTTTCAGATTTAGAAATTCGGTTAATCGAAAAAACCAAATTAGTTAAAATTCAGTATATAATATATAAAATATAATATACAATATATAATATGCTATATATTTATATATTAATATATTATATATAATGCATTATAATGAAATTAAATTTTATTATGTATATATATTTATATTTTATAGGTTATTTCGGTTTTATTAAAAATCGGTTTTAGTTTCGGTTGTCATTTTATTATTTCAGTTTTAAAAATTTTGATTTATTCAGTTCGGTTTTTAACAGAATAAAGCGAATGCTCACCTTTAGAATCTGCTATTTAACTCTTGCAATTAATGATTTATAGCAAATATTAATATATATATATATATATATATATATATATTGATAATGATGCTCTACTATTACAATATCTTTTTGGCGACAAGATCAAATTATATTTATAAGAAACTGGTACTTATAGATATAATAAGATTGAAAGGCATTAGGATTGTTTGATAGAGTTTGGTTTGAATTGGTCTTTCAGTCTATAAATGTTTGATGTATTTCTTAGATTCACTAATGTAATGTATCCATCAATTCTGTTGTTTCGCATCCATCACCATACATGTGTTGCCGGAAGAATTTGACGTCTCTTTCCTTGAAGGCATGTTCCCGGATGACCTAAATTCAATTCCTTTGGTGCGATTATTAATGTTGAGAGTTTTTTTTTTTTTTTTTTGCTGAGAGATTAAAATAGGTAAAAATCCAAACAGAGTTTACTTTCTTCCAAAGAAATAAGTATCTTTTGCCATTCAAACTTGGATAATTTTCTCCAAGAAAGTACGTACATAAGTTTAACTTTCATGACATCTAGAACTAAAACGCAGTTTTAAAATTTTACCATCCACTGTAACGTCTGTTGGACTAAAGTGGTATTTTGGAAAATTAAAATACAACAGTGGCCCTAAGAAAAAGACCTTAGGGCATACCATGACACCACGGTAGGAAACGTGTCCAAATAGAAATTATGTCACTATCATATGCTCTTCCTAATCTTTGGATTGAACGTTTGATGAATAATAAAGTTCAGGAGGGAGCAAGTCGGTCATTAACCCGTGAAACCAAGGTTTTTAAAATTGAGCCGGACAACGAACCGGTCAGAGATTCGGTTTTTAGGTTGAATGGTTCGATTATTTGAATCAAATGAATGGCCCGTTCTGATAAAAAATTTAAAAAAAAAATAAAAAATGGTCAAACCGTTAGATGATTCAAATGGTTCAATCATTCAGGTCACCTGATCGGTTCTTGGTTTTTGGCAAAATAAGGTTCTAGGGTAAAACGGAACTGACCACCTAATCGGTTCCTGGTTTTTTTGGTCCGACCATCTGGTCCGGTCCGATTTTGAAAACCATGCGTAAAACCCACCAAACTGAATTATATGAAGGAATCAGGATGGAAGATAAATTGTAGAACAAGCATTCTTGCCTTCCTCCACTAAGTCCAAGAAAGGTTACAGGAATACTTGATGTCTTGATGGCCTATTCCAAATATATAATCTTCTTGTAGTTTCTCACGAATCCAGATCCTCTCACTCATCACTAGCTATGGCTTTCTCTGTAATAAGATCAGCTCGAAGCATGGTTGGACCGGCAGAGGAGACACCCTCTGGCATGCTTGATCTTTCATTCATGGACAAACTATCAGGTGTGCAGCACGGTGTTAGATCACTGCATGTATACAGCCATGGCCATGAACCCGCTAAGATCATAAGAGAGGCTTTGTCCAGGGCTCTGGTTCCATACTATCCACTTGCGGGGAGGCTGAAGAAATCAAGCAATGGTGATACCCAGGTTTCCTGCACTGCGGAAGGTGTTTGGTTTGTGGAGGCGTCTTCCAATTGTAGCCTGGCTGCTGTCAACTATTTCGATAACAATTTCAGTACTATTCTGCACCATGAGCTTATTCCGGATCACCCTCCAGAGTCAGATGGCCTGGATCTGCCCATCCGAATGCAGGTACTTATTTGAAACTCATCTAATTCAGTAGCTAGGCACATCATCAATGTGTTTTGTTCTTTAATTGGGTTGGCCTAGCTAACTCTCAACAAGCTTAGATTCATGTAATTCAGTTAGGAAAATCACATCAATGTTTTGTTCATCAATTGGGCTGTCCATTTATAAGCAAACTGAGATTCATGTAATTCAGTAGGAAAACCACAGAAATCTCATAGGCAGAGAACGCCCCAAGATTAAGACCAAATAAGAGGACACACTGCTTGACTGTTCAACCAGTTTGGTTGGACTGTTCAACCAGTCAATCCAGCCTCATATTAAATCCTATTAACTTGGTTAGAAGTTAGAACTATTAATCCAAATGGTTGAGTTGTTCACCCGTCTACACTGTTTGACTGTTTGTGTCTGGCGATTCAATTAATTACTAATTAATTCAAAAAAAAGTTATAATTTAATATATGCATATATAATTTATATAATATTAAAAATAAATCATCAATAGAAATATTTTTCAAAAATAAGGGCCTATTTGGGTTACAGGAATAAGGGTATGGAATCAGAATGAAAATGGGCCATTCCCATTCCAACTATTTGGTTGGGCGGAATTAGAATCTCATTTCCATTGTTAGTGGAATGACATTCCCCCATTTGAGGGAATAGTTATTCCCTCTCCCTTTCTTTGAGAATGAAATTTCATTCCAACTGATTCCAATTCCTATTCCGATTCGTGTCTGAACTAAACAGATTATGAGAATAGACCATTATGATTCCAATTCCAATTGCCAACCATACTGTAAGTTTTCTTTTGGAGAGAGAACCAACGTGAAGAAAGGCTTAGGTTGGGAATCACTTTGGCTCCTGCAAGGAGGAAATCCTCCTCTTCATAATGGATGACTAGAATCGCCTCACCATGGAAATTCCAATTTTTATGAAACATGGAGCACTCAGGGAGATGTTCCCAGTATGTTCTTGGATGCGGTATTCTTAGAGTGTTCTTTTAGGAGTTCAGGGCTCCTTCGCTCTTTTATCTGTCGCTTAAGAAGGTTTATTTTCCATTTTAGAAGGACCAGAAAATTTACCACCCATACCTCCAAGATAGCAATAAGAAATACACAATTGGGAAGAGGAAAGTGAGTAAATGGGAGGTAACTAGGGACTCGAGAGGAAATCACATTGAACACTAAGGATTTCCTATTCACTTTTCACTTTTCCTATCCACTCTTTATCCGCCGAATTGAAGTCATATGTATATAAATTGAGAGATGGGTAACATCTCGCGTGGGTAACATCTCGCGTGGATAGGAAAAGTGAGTAGAAAATATGGGCTCCACAGGAGGGGGCAGTTGAGCTTACATCAACTTTATCAAAACAAACAAAATGAAATCACATCAGTGGAAAGTAGAGAGAGAATGATGGAGCCCAGATCGACAGCTAAGGCGAGTTCGCATGGCCACACAGCCCATCCCCTCGTGCATTGGGAACATCTCGCGTGGAGATGTTCCCAATTCATGGGAGGGATGGGCTGTGGGGTGTGATCTCTGGGGTTCCGTCTTGTAAAAGTCATGCGAGCATCACTGATGAGTAAAAAACGGCATTCTAGCATCACTTGTCAAAAAAAAAGGGAATGCTAGAATGCTAGCTGATACAATGATAATAGGGATTGCAATGGAGCATCCCAACCTCTACCTGCCCCAAAACCTATATTGAGAGTTCAAATTCATTTCGTACATGAAAATTTTAAACCCTCGATAACTTTACCTTCTTTACATTCATGGGTAGGTTGCATCTAATTTTCTATCTTTAAAATAATATGAACATTCATAAAAATTTTCAATTATTTGATTAAAACATGTAAAAACATATAAATTATTATTAGCTATCATTCACATAAAATTCAAAATATAATTAAATTTAACACTTAATACATAAATTTTATATGCTTTCCAACAATATATGGGTTAGAGAGGGTGGGTTGAATCTAATACCATACCTTATTCGTTGTAAAATCCCAAAACTCATACCTGCCTCATCTAGGTGGGCACCCACTGGGTAGGGTAAAAGCCATTTATGGAGTATTAAAATACAAACAAGTACATGCTCCCGATGTGCAGTTGGATGTTATGTTGTCAGCTTGTTAGTATTTTTTTGTTGGTAATAGAACACATTATGTGTGAAGGAGGAATAAGATCATCAGACATGACATGGGGAGAAACTAGAGGGAGGGAATGGAGGTGGATCCAAGTATATGAGAGTGAAATTACCAAAAAAGAATTAGATTTAAAAAGAGCTGAGAGGGATCTAAGTAGCCCTGATCTCCTAAAATGGAATATGTGCTTTCAAAGTGTTTGTACATTTTAAGAAATCTTGCCTCTCTTGACAGTAACACTCAAGATTGTCGCACCCCAATTAAACACCAACACATATGCAATTGATGCACTGCAAGGGAGTCTTGTGCCCTACTATTCCTCTATCTCTTCTTAACATTTTTTTTTTTATTTTTTAAGTCACGTGGAAAACAGTTTATGAATTTAAGCAGAATTGATACATAGGGCCTGTATGCTTACTCTTAATGCCTCTTTTCTCTTATCTATTAGTACGTTTAAGGGGAATTAAGAGCATTTGGTATTTCAGTCTTAATGTACTGCACATCATATTTAGTAGCAATAATGATCACTTTTTTGTTTTCTAGAAATACCCCTAAAGGATATCCTCTTATACATGCTATGATAAATGTTGGTAATAAAGTAATACTTAGAAATTATAATTATTTTGTTAATTATATACATAACATTTAACTATATATTTAATTATTTCATTGTATTTTAATGATTATTTTATTATTTACTGATTTATTAATAATTAATTAATAAATTAATACATAAATATTAATAATTAAACATATTAATTAGTTATTAAAAATTAATTATTATTTTAATTATTGATTATTAATATCAATTATTAGTTAATTACTTAATGGGAGAGATTTTTTTCGATTTCTATTGTTACTTATTTTTAACATTAAAGAACAATAATACATTAGTTAAATGGGAGAGATTCTGCTAGATTGCTATTGTTACTGTAGCTGAATCATTCAGCCCATCATAAGCCCATTGGTCTATTGAGTATCTATGAATGTCAAATGGTAAATGCAGCCTTAATCATGGTGTGTAATGGGCCAAAAATCAAATTTGAACTGAAACTTCTAGTTTTGAAATGCATTGGACCAAGTCGCATTGAATCCAATGATAAACCGATTTAGGTCAATTTTACTTAATGATAGGTCAGTTTTGGTTTGCTCTTTAAGTAACCCGACTAGGTCGGATTAATTAAAAAAAATCTATTAAACCAACCCAACCCGACCCATGAACAACCCTAAGTTTAAGCCTCGAAATCTTATACCCAGCATGGATGGAATTATGCCTTCTTTTAGCCCTTGGGCAGATACAACTAAAACCAAGATGCTTCTTAGACTTGGCCAAATTTGGCCCTCTACATTTTTTCAAAGGTTATATTCACTTGCTTTAACTTCCCCTATACTTTGACCCCCTAAACTCATTTGTTCACATTCGAGACAAATTATACAAGTGATTTAAACTCTCTAAATTTCCCAGTTTACACATTGACCAAGGAATTTCAAATTCTTTAAAATATAATATTGTCATTTTTAGTTCGGTTTTTCATGTCAAACGAACAAAAGGAGACTAGTTGTATAAGTTCTCGCAATTGCTAAGAGAGGAAATTGGAGAGGTCGAAATACAAGGGGTTAAAAGCATTTGTTAAAAAAACAGAATATGTTTAAGTAATTTTTCCTTCAAAACATATAACCTTTCTAGGGGTATTTCAATTAATAAATACTCCAATAGTATCATTTGTGGTAACCTAGGAATTTTAAAGCATTTAAGGCCCCGTTCGTTTTCCGATACGTTACTTACCCAGGTAAATGCAGTTATCTGGGTAAGTTTTTCTTGAAAAACACTTATCCAGGTAAGTGTATTTACCCATGTTCTTTTATTTCCCGAGTAAAAAGAAAATAACCATTTTAGCCATAAAAATCCATTATTAAATGGGACATTTTTATCCCATTTAAGTATTGGAATCTTTCCCCCCAGGTGGGAAAGTTATTTACCTACTTACAAGATGGGTGACTTGGATAAGTGATACCCAGGAAAATAAACTTTCCCTGATCCCTACATTAAAATAAAAAAAGAACATAGTATTCTTGGTCAATGGGAACCAAAATCCCATTGACCAACTTTCCCCTGTCTCAAAAAAGAACACCCCCTAAAAGTATGACATATCATTTTTTATTAGGTTCTTATTTCTTATTGCCATATTAAATGGTTTATTCTTTTCTATTAAACTTTTTCTTGTGGTACTTTGGTTAATAAACATTCCAATATTATCATTCAGGGACAAATTAGGAATTTTAAATTAAAGTGGTTAAAATCATGAGATCATCATTTTTTATTTATTTCTTAAACTCAAAGGAATATGATGTATTTGTATAATTTCTTATTATTGCCAAGGAAAAAATTTGGAGACTCAAAGTACAGGGGACGTTATTTTCAAAATAAAATAAGTATAAAGGAGGTTAAAGCATTTATTTAGAGATTATTATGAGCAACGTTTTAAAAAACGACCCGGAAATGAAACTGTTCTGGCCACTGGTTTCTGGGTCAATAGTTCGATCATTCGGTTTGAACGAACGACCCATTTTGACAATAAAATTAAAAAAATAAAAAATAATTAAAAAAATACAAAACGGTCAAAAACCATTGAACGGATCAACAGTTCGACCACCTGAGTCAATGATTTATTGACTTTTTTAATAATTTTTTACTAGATTCTAAATTTTGGATAAAACAAAACTGATTACCTGAACAATTCCTAAGCCGAACGATCCGAGAGTTCAAAAACGTTGATTATGAGTACGTGAGTAACTGAATTTTACACTGCCTCTATTCTTGTCAATATATCACAAAGTGAACACATAACATGGATTAGGATTAACTCACATTTGCTATGATAGTGTGGTAACCTGTGCTGAAACAAGTAAGTTAAAGCCTTTGATTTATTGCCATGGCCCACCTTGAATTAGATGAAATCACTTATTGGTGGGGCCATTGCATTAGATCCAATGCCATGATTTCTGTTTTAGCCCACGCTACCTAACAAAAGTGAACTCAACACGGATAGGAACCTTTCATCATTGCAATAGTTAAAATACAGTAGTTAAGCTTTTGGTAGAGAATATACATATTTTAGGGGAAATTTTAGCTCAATAGCCCTTTTCATGTAATACCGACCTCTGTATCTTCCGCAGAAGCAAAAGGTCACGAGTAAAACGCCAAAAGTTTGCTAGCGTGTTTCGAGTTCGAGTTTGAGTTCAATTTTGAGAAAAAATATTTTATAAAAATAAAAAATTATATATAAAAATATTTTTTATTTAAAAAAATAAGAATTACAATAATTAATAATTATAATATTTTTATTATATAAATTATTTTTTATAATTTTAATATATATATAAAATATATATTCGAGCCAACTCGTAAACTTCACGAACTGAGTTTTATTAGGCTCGAACTCAGCTCGTTTCATAATCAAACCAATGAATTGGGCGTGAGCTAAGCTTTTCACAAGCTAAGCTCGAACAGCTCGTAAAAAACTCGACTCATTACCACCCCTATTCCTCATAGAGCACACTTCATATATACGTCATGCATTGATAATATCTTCTTATCATAAATGATAACATATAAATATAAAAAATATTCGTGATACATGACTGCAAATATACTATGAGGTTGGATCTCTTACACTTGCACTTTGATAGTAAGTCGTTCTTTTTTTTGCTTTCATGAGGTTACAAAATGCACAATGGAGATAGTCCATCCCCTCCCTTAACCCCCCAACCCTGGTTCGATCTCCATTGTGAGGTAATACCTGTCCATTCTCAAGTTTAATTACCACCCTCCGTGATTTCTGATGAATTTTATTGATTCTGATCTGGATTTAGCTCTATCATTTTTTTTCATTATTTGATAATTCTAATGCATTTAGTTCATTGTTAAAAGAACACTATCAATATTCAAACAAGTGAGGCACAAGGAAAAAAATCCCAACCCAACCATTATTGCCTGTTACCTAATGACTCACGCTTGGTACTGGCTAGCCTACCCGCATATTATTGTTTAGCCATGTGGCAAGCACATTGATAAACACTAAGACTGGATCTTTGATTTGAATGAGGTGACTAATTAAATTGGGTGTGCTTCATAATTAAACAATATTTTATCTAAAAGAATGAAACCCACGGCAATGTAACTTTGCAGACAACGTCATCATCTAAATGTTGTCCCGTAGGATTGGTTTTGTATTAATTATCTCAAGAAAGTAAATTAAATTAATTTAATTGTCAATGAGAGATTAGCTAGCACGTTTTAAGAAAAATCCATGTTATCCCATCTATCCTTTTCAATCTACTGCTGCCAGTCCTTTTAGCCCCTATAGCTCAGTTGGTAAGGTTTCCAGCTGGATATAGCAGTGATTTGATATTAAATCCTAGTGTCAGTATTAGGGTTAGAGGGGTGGTTATATGTAGGGTTAGGGCTGAGGGGTAGCCTCATGAAACAAATTAAATAACTTGTAACAGATCATTTTAATTATTAGCTAGTTCTGCAAATATATAGGATTGTCTCCTAATTATTTTAAGAGGTATATACAGCTCTTAATATAAATTAGGGTAAATGGTTAAAACCTACCTCGAAGTTTTTAGTCATTTATGAAACTTTCCTGAAATTAGGATGGCTTCGGGGAGGGTTTTGTAAATTTTAAATCTTATTAATCTCCTTAAAGCTCCCAATCCGTATATGTCCCAAAACTCGTGTGAGTTGAATTTTGAGAATTCAAATTCTCCTTATATATGAAAATGTAAAGCCATCATCGACCCTACCCTCTTTACATTCAAGGATAGAGACGGATTGGGCTTAGAACTCGCATCTAATTCCCTATTGTTTCTTATTATATATAAACAAAGTAAAATAACATAAATAAACAACAAAATTTTCAATTATTTCATTAAAACATGTAAAAAGCATATAAACTATTAATTATCCTTCACATAAAATTCAAAAGATTATTAAATTCAACACGTAATACTAAAGTTTATATTATGTCCAGCAATATGCAGGCCGAGGAGGATCGGGTTTACCTAACCACCCATATTGTACAAGTTGTAGAATTCCAAAACCTATCCCTACCCCAAAACCCGTTCTCCAAGCAAAAAAACTGCCCCATTGGGGCGAGTACCCACCGGATAAGATATAAATTGCCATCCCTAAGTGCAATCACATCCCCTAAACTTTCTAACACAGACCCATTATTATAATCCTCTAACAAGAGGTAAGAAAAATGTCCAAAATATCAATGTAGTTGTTTTTTATTTTTCTTTTCATATCAATCCTATCCTAAACCCTTCCAATCTCTTTTCCAAAATTGATTTATTTTCCAAATTTGCCCTTTCATATTAATTGCTCAAAATAAAGCTACGGCTTTAAACACTTTTTTTTTTGTTGTTTCATGAATTTTATATTGTTTTTTTCTAAAGTAAGTTTCAATAATAAATGCATGGATATTTTGTACATTTTCGTGCTGCTTGTAAAAAAATTCTAACAGAAGGGGTATACTTGCAACTATATAGAAAGTTCAGAAAAAGTGAATTTGCAACTATATCAGAAAGGGTATACTTACAACTATATTTCAGCAATGGTCAGAAGCTTCAAAAGAGTTTCTAGCAATTTACCCTATAAATTAAAATTCTATTACCCCTAGCTAACACGTTTTTAAGTGTAAGCTCTCCTGTATAACAGATTTATTTAGCCAAAGCTCTAATCAAAACCTTGTGTTATCATTAACAGGTGACCCAGTTTACATGCGGTGGATTTGTCATAGGTCTTGTACTCAGCCACACTACGTGCGATGGCCTAGGATCTGCTCAGTTCCTAAAAGCTGTGGGTGAGTTTGCTAGAGGCCTCCAGCAGCCAAGCATTGTCCCTGTGTGGAGTAGAGAAGTTATTCCGACTCCTGCACGACTATTAGCACAAGCATCCACCAAACAAAAACTACTGCCAGAGCCACCACTTTCCCTGCCCGACCACAAGCTCGAGAGCATCTCTATAGACATTTCACTAGACCGAATCAGTCAGCTCAAGCGTGAGTTCCAACAATCCACTGGCCAAACTTGCACAACCTTCGAACTCATCGTTGCCAGCATCTGGAGCAGCCGAACCAGAGCTGTAAACTTCCATTGTGACACCAATGTCACACTGATGTACCTTGCCAATGGCCGTCAGCTCTGCAACCCACCATTACCGGAAGGTTTCTACGGCAACTGCTTCTTCCCAGTAAGCATAAAGGCATCTAGTAAGACGGTGTCACTGGCGTCAAATGCCGAGGTCGTTAAACTGGTACAAGAAGGGAAATATAGGCAGAAGGAACAATTCAGAAAATGGATGGATGGTATTTTCTCGGAACCCGGAGAGAACCCATATGATCCCTCTGTCGCCTACAGGAAGTTAGTCGTATCTGAGTGGGGTCGATTAGGGTTCAGCCAGGTTAATTTTGGGTGGGGTCCCCCTGTCCACATGATTCCTGTTGACGGTTCTAGCATCGTCCCTCTTGTGATAATAGGGACCCCACCTACTCCAAAGAAGGGTTTCCGTCTGATGACATGGTGCGTCAAGGGGACCCACATGCCACACCTTGTTGAAGAGATGAAGCACCTAGCTTGAAGGAATCAATATTAAAGAATAAGTAAAACAAGAATAATAAGAAGTGATAGAGATGGGAAGCTAGCTGTTGTTATTAAGATAAATGGGGTTGTGTATAATTAGTGTAGGGCTCTTGATGGGGATGTGCACTTTGTGACCTCTTCTCTGGCTTGTCTGGACATGGGCGCTGTATCCATCACTCAGCTTTCGTTATGTAGATTTTTCATGGATTCTATAGATTTTACTTTGCTAAGCAGGGATGGTGTTTTTTTGCATTAATAAAACAAGCGCTTGGAAAATTTCTTCCACCAAAAGGAGGTGGGAGTTGGGACTTCACTTCAAGGTGTTATAAGCCAGAGAATTTTCTGTGTCGTGGCCTATTTATTTAAGAGTAAAAATTTTAAATGGATTCACTACCATTTTCGGTCCTCCATTCATCTAATGCCATGTAATCTGATTGCTTAGAATGTTGAAGATATGAAACTTGTTACTGATTCACTCACAGTCCCTATATTAAATATAAATTTTTAATTTATCAAATATCAAAAAATTGTAAAAAAAGATTTCCAATATCTTTCATTTTGCTTTCTAAACAATTAAGAACCCCTTTTCTCTCCTCTCTCAAACTCTTGCAGTTCTTCCTAGTTGCTACCCCTCCAACGATCTATTTACAATCTATTCTCCCTCAATTGCAAGCAATCCTCTCTCAAGTCTTAGAGACTGAGATAAAGAAGACAGGGACAGGGTGTCTTACAATCTTGCAGCCATAGTGAATGTTCCAAAGACAAAAAACATATTGCAAGAGCAAGGAGTGTAGGAAGTACATTATTCCCAAGGTGACCCAATACAAAACGGGGGGAAGATAGCTCATCTGCTTAGGGTAAATCCCATTATGATTGCAAACAATAGGTTATGGTGGACAACCAAACCTGTCTTCCACAAGAAGGCAAACACCACCAAGAAGATCGTACTAAGCTACAATGCCAGGCCTTTGAACAGTGTCTTTCTTTTTGTTTGGAAATGTTGCTGCCAGGTAGGATTGGTATCCATTATAGGAAGTCCACGCTATTGCCACATCATGTCCTCGTTAGCAGCAATGAACTCTAAATTGAGAAAACGTTGAATTCGATGTTTCCCTAGACCACACCTTCTTGATTTTCAATGCATGGTTTGATGGTTTAGGGCATCGTTTTTTTATGGAAAAGCGGTTCCAAACATGTTACATTTTTTGGAATACTGATTTTTCCAATGTGGCACTGATGTATCACTGTTTTCTGGAGCAACGACACCGATGCCAAACACCACCCAAGTCTGTTGGATTTCTATAAAAATTTTGATTTAATTTGATTTGATTATTGAAACATCACAACCCTTTCTTCCATTAAAGAGATTCTTGGGTTTTACTCTTTTGACCTCATTATAAATTTTAATTGGCGTGTCAAATCATGAATAGAATTCCGAAAATTGGTTATTTTTTTTGTGAGTCTGGATTGAATTTTTTCGCTTAGTTGTTATTGTTTCCGTACATGTAGTGACCGACATAATGAGTCAATTATTGGATTAGAAGCAATGTTTTTGAACTGTCATTGACCCAGACGATTGGATCATTCGGACTAGGAACCGTTTAGGTGACCCAGACAATCGTTGAACCGTTCGACTCGGACAACGGTCCATGGTTTATTACTTATGACAAAAGAAGAATGAAAAGGGAAATTCAGAACTTCATATCTCTCAAATCTCTCAAATCTAAGATCTAATAGAGAGAGATTAGTCAAGACATACGTGTGTGAGAGATCTCAGGTTTAGAGATGGGAGAACAATCTAGAGGAGAGATATGTGAGAGAGAGTGTGAGATCTGAGATCTCTCAAATCTATTTTCATCGTTGTTGTTGCTGTTGTAGTTCGCCGTTGTAGGTCACCGTAGTCACCGCCGCTGACTTAGAAACCGGTGGTGTTGGTCGATTTTTAAAACCTCGGTTAAAAGCCTTAGGAAGAGTTTAAATTATAAGAAAAGAAAAAGAAAACTAGGCTAAAACCGGAAACCATGGCCTTTAGATGTAATTTCGGGCCCTGCGTTAACATCATTGGATGCATTGTTGTGATGTCACTTCGTCCAATTCATGGTAGGCCACATCAATACAGCTGTAAGTAGAGTTTACATTGGCTCTTTTGGGAGACTATGCACCTCACAACTTAACTAATTCAGGTCGTCATTTGTTTTTTCAACTAAAAAATATTGAGTGTAAATATTATTTTACCCACATTTTTATAAACAATTAAAGTTTTTTATGACTTAAGTTCATTGCTACGCCAATAATGATAGCTCTAAAGAGATGTTTAGATGAGAAATATTTATTTAATTTGTGGCCTTTCTTGTAATAATTAATAACTGCTGCCACTACAAGAAAAATAACCTTTAGGCTCCATTCATTTGACCGTATTTAACGGTCAATTGTTACCTGAGACTATCAATCAGTTATCCAGTAATTCAGGATATCTAAGAATATCATTTACCACCTGAAGTCTGTAATTGCTCTCTCCCTATTACCTCTCTTTTTACCCGAGTAACTGGTAGAATAAACGTAGTTACCCAAGTATGTAAAAGTAAATGGGGCCTAGTCATAGACCTATAGTTACAATCTAGCTATAGACAAAAGATTGTAACTTATGTTTCCGTGACTATAAATAATAGTTATAGATATTGTGGTTCAGAGCTACAACCAATTTATACTAAAAGTTAAATTCAAAAACAATATGCATTACGATTATGGATGAAATCATAGTTAAATAACACATATAACTTTTATATTGCCTATGGACGAAATCATCTCTACAACTTGATCAATCATCAATATCAATTGTCTTAAATGGCTTTCAGGATTTATTTAAAATCCAAACAATCCTAAGACAAAATTACTGGGAGTGGGGATATGAGACATCACGATGGGAGAGAGAGCCCCTAAAGAAACCTTCAAAAACCCCTACTTTTAGCAGTTTTGGCAGGTAACTCTAATCCTTTTCTGGCTATTCTCAATCCCCTATCATTGATTTCCATTGAAAGTTCAAAGTTCCTTCTATCAAATGGAGGGAACTTCACATGAGGATATTGAAAAATCATTCTTACCACTTCGTTTTTGCGTGGTAGGCAAGTGTGCATACAAATGACCATTTCTCGCAGAGATTAGAGAATTTTTGGTTGGTGCTTTCAACATTAAATCTTTTGTGATTATTGCATCTTAAGACTTATGCCATGTTTTGGGGGCAATTGGCTGAGAGAGGCAATTTATATCAAGGAGTTCCTCTTCAGGTTGCTAAACCGGATGTCAAGCATGGAGTTGGGATGGGAACCTTCATTGCTCCCGTCTAGTTCACACTTCCACAACTCCCCATTGACCTCTCTACAATGATTGATTTATGCGTTATATTACATCGGTTGCTAGACAAATTCTCAGAGTTGATCAAGCGACATCAAGACTAACGAAAATGACAGCAACCAAAGTATGTATTGAAGTTGATTTATTGAAGGAAAACCCTCGTCATGTATGGGTTGGTTTGGGGAAGGAAGGTTTTTGGTAGAAGATTGTTTATGAGACAGAAAAAAGAAGAGGAGAAGGGGGTTTTAAATGATAAATTGTAGAAGAAGCACATGAATCTAGGGGTGTCAATGGTGTTCGAAAATTCGATTTTGAATTTGATATTCGACATAATCGAATTAAATTCGGATAATTCGAATATCTAATCGGTCGAATTCGGATATCCTATTCATATTAAATAGTTAATCGGATTCAAATTCGGATATGACCTGATTCAATTCGATAAATATCCGAATTCGACCGATTATTTAATTCGTATATATAATATTTTATATAATTTATATATAATAATTAAGTTATATAAATAATTTATATGTTTATATACTTTATATCAATAAAATATTTATTTTATATATTTATTAATTATCTAAAATAATTAATTAATCGAATTCGAATTGAATATTCGAATATTTGAATATTTAATCGGATTCGAGTTCGAATATTAATTTTCGATATCTGTCGGATATCGAATCGAATTCGGATATCAGATTTTCTAATCAAATTTAAATTCAGATATTACCTAATCTGATTCAAATTCGATCCATTTTCAGCCCTACATGAATCCCTTGATCCCTAAACCTCCTTCGATTAAAAAAGTGTTGCGAGCAACCGATGTTGTTACACAAGGTATAGATATAAGGAAAAACCTATCAACCAAGGCCCTACAGTTCGGGTGATGGAGAGCGATCAAGGAACAATCCCTGATTTCAAGATGGTTGAGGCTAAAAATGAATCCACGGGGGAAAGGAGTAAGCAAGATAACTTTGCAACCCTAGTAGTGGAGTCAACCCCTGTTATGGATAATCGATTAGGCCTTAGGGGTCTACATAATTAAGATTCATCTATGCAAGTCTCTAAATAGATAGTTCACATCTATGCCCCACAAGGGGGCGCCTCACAATGCCCCACAATACATCCCGACCTTGTATTGAGAACATCTCCCAATGATGTCTCATCATCTCCCGTATTTGTCATTGGGAGATGCTTCCAATACGAGTCCAGCTTGGGTCAAGGAAAAGCCCATTCCAACAGACTTTATAGCCTTAGGTTGGGAATATCTCCGTAATTAGGTGATTTATTTCATGGGAGATATTCCTAATGCAAAATTGCAAGGGGTTGCTTGAACAGTGCGAGCACCAACTTGCCCTGACAGAAGTCGAACTCTTCCAATACAAGGTCGGGATGTGCTGTGGGCACCCCCTTGTGGGGCGCTGATGTGAACTCCTGAATAGATGTCTAATATGGAAGAAGATGACGAAACTATTGGTGCTTGACGAAAAACCCAAATGGAATTTGAGAATGGGTAGGAAGATCAAGAAAAGGAAAGTGCTCCTGTTGGCGAAGTTATGGTGGAAAGAATGTTAGATATGACTGGAACTTTGAACATTATCCATGAAGATGTTTCAACGAAAATCCTTGAAACAGGACTACAGGAGGCATGAGAAAAGTGTGGTGATAGACTGAAACTTGCTTTGCCTATTCTGATTATCAATGGTGGTGGGATGATATGGTGATTGGAATTAGTGAAAATATGCAAGATGTTTTTAGTAGAGCTTGTCAATGTAGATTTCAAAGTATTATTGGAATAAGGCCAACATTGAATACTAGATATGTAGCCACTCTTGTGCGAAAATATAATCAGTGGAAATAAAAAAGGAAAAAGAATTGTAAATCTAATAAAGCATAGGAGACGACTCAACCAAAAGCAATTGGAAGATTGACAAGAATAAAGGCTACCATCCCCATTAT